TTGATTCTGGTGGTGATGTCATGGTGATGATGATGATGATGACAACGTTGATGGTGATGATGATGATGGTGTTGTTAGCCTGCATACATGCAGGTCTTTAAATGTGATTTTTGCCTCAATGCTGCTCCTGAATCAGCTCTTCAATCCTCTGTGCTTCAGATATTCTCTGACAGAAGAAGGTCTGGCTCTGGCCGAACGTCTGGCAGCAGCAGAAAGACAGACTACAGAGGAGGAAGAGGAGGAAGAAGAGGGTCCTGGAGTGGTTGACCTGACTGGTAGTGATGATGGAGAGGGGGAGGAGGACAGGACACAGTGAGTGGACTCTGACTGATGGTTTCCTGCTCATGTTCTGATCAGCCTGACCCTGTTCTTCTCTCAGTCCTACAGGCAGCGCTGCCGGCCAGCAGAGCAGCGACACGGACGCTTCATGTTCGTCAGAGAAACCCCAGAGTTCACAGACAACCAGCAGACACCAGGGTGGAGGATGTCTCCTGCCTGGAACCTACGAAATCATCCTCTGTGTGGACTTTATTGAGACCACTGGGTAAGACGGTTTGATTTAAGACCTGAACAAGGCCCCCTGATATTGACTTATAAGCCTGAAATCCTGTCAGGAGCCTGTAACAGACACATCTGTAGACGTCTGTGTGAGTCAGAGACCTGTACTGTGACCATACATGTTTGGTCTTTATTTCATGCCGGGCTGTCTTGTTGCAGCGGCAGCAACCACCGGAAGCAGGAGCTGGTCAAAGAGCTGCAGAGGAACAGAGTCAACTTTGACATCAGGAAGCTCAACGTTGGTGACTTCCTGTGGGTGGCTCGGGAAAAGGTCACACCTGTTCCAGGTAACGCACACATTAATGCAAACCAGACAAAGAACCTGAGAGACGCCTGTGAAAACATCTGGCCTGTTCTGATGTGGTGCAATGAGACGAGGTAGGCTGACACCTGGAGTCGGCTCCGTGGTCACTCAGTCAATGCTGTACATAAAATGTCAGAACATGTTGAATGTGTGGATCAGAGCTTCCTCTAATGTCTGCTTTAGTCCAAAGATCTTCAGTTTACTGTGACAGAGGAAAGAAACCAGGAAACATTCCCATTAAAGAGGCTGCGATCACAGAATTAGATGGTTTTTACTGAAAGAAAACTTCTCAAACAAAGTAATGAACTGTAAAGTTGTCAGCTGTTGACAAACGTTTGAATCGTTGCAGCGCGGCAAAAAAAAAGCCTCTGGTTGGTTTTATCCATGTTTTAAGATGACGTACAGCAGCACAGTGACTCTATCAGACCCCTTCATGCAGCAGCAGCAGCAGCAGCAGCACAGTGACTCTATCAGACCCCTTCAGGCAGCAGCTCGGGGCTCTGTGTTGGTACCAGGTGATGATAGCTCAGGTTCCAGCCTCTCCAGGTGTCAGTCTGGTTTATACAGAATGACTCCACTGACCGGCTGCACTGATCTACATGATGGGGTATCTGTGATGCTGCAGGTCAGCTGCGAGTGCCTGCAGGCAGAGAACTGGTCCTGGACTACATAATAGAGAGGAAGAGGATGGACGACCTGTGTGGGAGCATCATCGACGGACGCTTCAGAGAGCAGAAGGTCAGTGAGCTGCTGGACTCACCGCTGGCTACAGGTGACCTGGACAGGAGCTGATGGAGCTCAGACGGAGGTCACGTCTCAGGTTCTTACTCCATAAATGGTGAATACAGAGATTCTGTCAACTGCATCCTGCTGTCAGCTGTTTGCCTTTTCATTGTCTTCTGATGATTAGAACACTGACTTGAGGTCAGAGCCTGAGCTGAGCATGAATCAGTGACAGGAGAGCACACCTGTGTCCAGGTGCTGGAAACACCCTGCAGATGTGGACGCTGCTCAAACATCTGAAGCTGTTGGATTCAAAGCTAGAATCTGGGGCTGAAGTTCACAAGCTCGAAAATGAAAACGTAGCTGTTCCCTGTTTGTTTTTCCCTCCTCCAGTTCCGGCTGAAGCGCTGTGGTCTCCACCGGCCCGTTTATTTAGTGGAGGAACATGGAACGGCTGCTTCTCACCTGAGCTTACCTGAAGCTACGCTGCAGCAGGCCATCGTCAACACACAGGTACCGGTCTGAGAGTCAGCTGACCATCAGGATACTGAGGACGGAACCGGAGCCGACTCCTCTATGACTCAACAGAACTGGGTTAAAACTAGCATCCACTGACCTGCCACAACATTAAAACCACCTGTCTATGATATGTAAGGTCCTCCTCTCTGATTGGTCGATGACTCCACAGCCCTCTGAAGGTGTCCTGTGCTCCTCTCTGATTGGTGGAGAGCCTGTGGCTCCAGGCATTCAGGCGTCAGCAGCACATCCTGTAGCTCCTGTACAGCTGTGAGGCCTCCATGAATCAGATTAGTTTGGCGGCTGAGTCGACACCTGGAACTCCATCGTGTTCCTCAAACTGTTCCTGAACAGCAGGAAGCTTGAACCTGCTGAAGGAAGCCATGAAGGCTGTCTGCGGTCTGCAGCAGCGTTTAGGTCAGGAGTCCTTTCAGACGGGGCATTTTGAAAATAGCATCATAAATCTACAGTTTGTGCTTCAGCAATGTTAAAACGACGGCATTCTGTCATCAGATAATAAAAATAGTTCAGCAAAGAAGTGCCAGAAAAAAACCTTAAAAATGTTGGAATACTTCCATGTGACAACAAAACAGCAGATATCTGTAAACCAATATTAAATATATATAAACCATGATGTTTGAGCTGATTGAAATACAGCAGAACAGTTACAAGTGACTATTTGTATCAATACAGACGTCTGATGTGGACGTTATTTACAGTGTTGGCCTGTTTTCTTTTTACAGTGAACATTTAAATCAGTACTTCTATCTGTGGTTTTACTGGATATCGTCTGTTATTTACAGAAACAGGGTAATCTGTAGAATATCAGTTAAACGTGCTAAAAGGTACGGTTCAGAGGCTCCCCCTGGTGGAACAACCAGGTACTACAGCTGGCCAACGACACATTCACTGACATCAGGACCTTCTTCTGCCCGATCAACATATATATATATATATATTGGTTCCTTCATGGTCCAGTTCTGGAGGAGTCTGTCTCTGGTTCTCCTCCTTTAAACCCTGTTATGTTGATGTCTCACAGCAGATGATTCATCGGCTCCTCTTTATGGACTCTTTTCTTCTGGACTAATATCTGATATTGTTTCTCTCTTCAGTAGTTAAAGAGCAGTTTAAACATCTGCTGATCTCTGTTCTGTCACTGCAGGTGGAGAGTTTGAGTTAAATCCTTCACAGCTTCTTTACTCGTGTTGAGTCATCGTTTCTTGTTTTCATCAAAAACAGCTGCTTTGATAAAGTGCTTCACAGTGAAACAAAGAAAGATTCTAATGTGTAACTAATTAATCTATCAAGTTATTGATCATGTGATTTGATCAAAATATTTTATACATTAGAGATTAAAACCCTGAAAAGGTAATGTACAGAATTAATAACTGTGTGTGTGTGTGCGTGTGTGTGTGTGTCTCTGTCTGTGCGTGCGTGTGTGTGTGTGTGTCTCAGGTGGTCGATGGGTTCTTTGTAAAGAGGGTTCAGGATGTGAGAGAATCAGCAGCTTATCTCACCATCATGACTCGATACCTGAACAAAGTGTACCAGGTACAAACACACACATCCTGCAGACGTTCACGTCAACAACAACCACCATCATCCTGTAGCTCAGAGGGAAGCCAGAGGAGGGTCCAAGGCAGCAGCAGGTTAATGTCTATGACACAGAGTCACAGAAACAATCAGTGGTACCCTGGATGTGGTTCTGGTTCTGATCAGTCACCAGAGGAAACTCTACAAAGTGCATTCTGGGTAAACGCTCCAGGCTCATACCAGCATGTGTGATGGTGGTTGGTCAGAACCAGTTGTAGACAATGGACCGTTTTACCTCCAGAACCTACCAGAACCATCTGTGGACAGGATCCACTCGGAGGTTAAATAATGTAGTTTTATAGTCAGTGTCTATCTGCTGTACTGATGAAGTTCTGAGGCTCAGAAATGATGGAAAAAGTCCATTAAAGTGATCAATCTGGACCCTCCTCTGTGGACTTCAAGGACCTGGACCTCTGGAACATTCACAGTCTGAAGGTAGAACTCTGGTCAGGAGATAAAGGTTCTGCAGATACAGAACCAGCTGGTTCTCCAGATTCTAATGAATTAAAGTGAAGGTGGTTCTGTCCTGGTTGAATGTGTTTCAGAACCGGACCCTGAGCTGTCGGTCCAGAGAGCTGGAGGGGGATGTGTGCGGCGCTGAGGAGGAGAGAGGAGTCCCCTCCTGCTCGCTCATCTCTTTTGCAGAGTTCAACCACGGAGCAGTGAAGAACAAGGTGAGTGGACACCTGAGCTCCACCTGCTCAGCAACACGTCTTCACACCAACGCTGAGCGTCAGGAGCTTCTTCTGAGCCGTTGTTTCCTCCTCAGTGTCAGACGGTGAGGGAGGTGTTTGCCAGACAGCTGATGCAGATCAGCGGTTTGTCTGGAGACAAAGCAGCAGCGATCCTGGAGCACTACAGCACTCCCCACAGGTGAGCCTCCTCAGGTGAGCCTCCACAGCTGAGCCTCCACAGGTGAGCCTCCTCAGGTGAGCCTCCTCAGGTGAGCCTCCACAGGTGATCCTTCTGAGGTGAGCCTCCTCAGGTGTTCCCATGACAGCCAGCGACACCTGACTGTCACTGTTACAGCCGGCAGCGATCCGCCACCATCTCAGGTTCTGTTCAGAGTCACGTGTTTGTTATTTGGGAGACAAGACACAAGTTCTGGAGCATGTTTGGCTGAGTTTTAAGAATGTCGTGTTTCCCCCCTCAGAATGTGGGTCATAGGGAGGAAACAGAACCTCACTTCCTCTGTCCAGTCTGCAGGTTCAGAACAACAGAAATGAGAGACAGAATGGCAGAAGGGAGGAAAAGCTGTTACGACCGGGCTCAAGACGGCCGCAACAAAAAGAGAGACACCAAGTTTCAAAAATTAAAGCTTATCTTTATTGTTATATGATTTATCTAAATTATATCAAATTAAAAACCAAACCAATATGGTGTTGTGAGAATACATAGAGTCAGTGGTGTGTGTGTGTGATGTGTGCATGAATTATGTCTGTGCAGTGTTGTGAATGCAGACGTCCTAAACAAAGAAACTAACCCATGACCGGACCGATGCAATACCTGCAGAGGGAAGCAGAGAGAGATGAGACTGCAGTCAGTCCTGAAGTGACCCAGGAACACACCGGGTGTCACAGGTGCTCCTGATTACCTCAAACAGCCACTCACAGAACCAATAGCCGAACTAGAACCACCCACAAGATGCAAGATGACCTCAGGGGTCATCACAAAGCATAAACAGGAGTGTTTACAGAACCGTTGCTGCTCCGGTTCTGTCTCAGGACTTCAACCTGAACAGCAGTTTGTTCTTTTGGTACCGTGGAGTCAAGCTCACTGCATGATGGTCCGTTGAATGTGCCTCATGATGGTTTGACAGGTTGGAGTTGGACCAGAACCACGGTACTGATGAACCCTTTCTGTTTGTTGTCAGTCTGATGGCGGCCTACGAGCGCTGTGCCAGCGAAGCAGAGAAGGAGAAGCTGCTGGCCTCCGTCCGCTACGGCAAGTTAAAGAGGTTTGTAGCACCGAGTCCACACGTCCTGATTCATGGATCCATGTTGGTACAGAGCAGAAACAGAAGCTCTCCGTTAAACTGTCGATGGTCGGATTTAAAGTCAACCGAACCTGCAGCACCCCCCAACGGTGATGTCCATCAACATGATAGATCTGGACCCTCCTCTGTGGACTCCAAGGTTCTGGAGATCTGGAATATTCACAGTCTGAAGGTAGAACTCTGGTCAGTAGATAAAGGTGAACCAGATGTTCTGAGGAGGTCCGGTTGGAGGTTCTGACTGATTTCTAATAACAGGATGCTGTAAACCTTGACTCGGTTTCTTGTTCAGCTGCAGACGGTTGGAGGGAGGGGTTCTGATGGAGGGGTTCTGAGGGATTAACGGGACGATTCTGTGTTTTTCAGGAACGTGGGTCCAGCTCTGAGCAGAACCGTCTATCAGCTGTACTGCACACAGGGTCCGCTGTCGTAACACTGACCAATGACCCGTCCAGCTCAGTTCTGTTGGACCCTCTCACAGACTCACGGTCACTCGCTCATGGTCCTGGTTCAGCAGAACCACTGAGACGATCCTGTAAAAGACGCTGCTATGTTTCTGTAAACCTGTCACTGATGTGCACCAATAAAGTTTATTTTGAATGTGACTCTGCTGTTCAACACAGAACCGTGTTCCTCTGCATGTTGACAGTAATAAAAACACGAGATCAGAATCTGTTGACAAACTGCTCTCAGCCGGTTCTGTGGACCTCTATCCTACACGATGCCCGTCAGCAGAAACAGACCGATGTCTGCAGTGAGAAGGTCGGTCCAGTGAGCTCAGGTGTGTTTGTCCTGAAGGTTTGTTTCTCTGCTGGTAACAGACGTCAGACAGCGAGCCGTGCAGTGTGGAGGACCTCGGATCTCCCACTGAGCTTCTGATCGCTCTGTTTCTGCTGGTGTTTGGTTTGTGCTGCAGTCTGTCCTCACAGGTGAGCTGTGGAGGCGTGATGCTCCCCATGGAGACGGTGGTTCGTCCAGAGGACCCTCCTGTAGATGTACAGCAGCTTCAGCCGCCACTGGTTCCAGACGGTGACCAGAAGCATCGCTGCTGGACTTGGTCTCCTCCTTTTCATGACAACGATCCTTCAGTTGAAACTCATCAGGTGTTCCTCCATCAGAACCGCTCCAACCCACTCGTCACTAGTTCTGGGAAGTATTTTTGGCTGAATTAGGAAACTTTACAAAGTGCATTCTGGGTAAACGTTCCAGGCTCAGATAAGCATGTGTGGTGGTGGTGGTTGGTCAGAACAGTTCTAGATGATGGGAGGACTGTTTTTAACTTCAGAAGCTGGTTTTCTGCAGAAGGACTCCTGGTTAGAAGATGAACCTGGTATCAAAACCCATTTTCCATAAATCATGAATCCTTCCAGCTACTGGTAAAAACAAAGTGTCTTTGACTGTTAAAGGAATCTGTTGGTTTCTGACAGACTCCAAACAGCTGCCAGCAAACGAGACAGACTTGAGTTTAAATGTTTGGAATAAACGTAGAACTATTGGTGAGGAGCTGAAGCCTGCAGACTGACTGCTCACCGCCCTGACGAGGGTTTACAGCCAAACACGTACCTGGAGCTGTTTGTCTCCAGCCGGGATGAGGGTGAATGAACCACTGAGATGCTTTTCTTCTCCTCTGCAGGAGCTGAAGTGGAGATCAGACTCCTGGAGGACAGACGGAACTGATGGTGGTGAGTTGTCTTCTACACAAACGAGGTGTGTGTCAGAGACTCTGAGTTTAATCTGAGCAGCTAACGTCACAGTTCAGGGTCAGATGCTTTGTGCAGGAGAAGCCAGGAGTCACAGAGGCTGATACAGGTTCATTTATGTCTAAAATAAAAATGCAGACAGAACTCTGGTAGAAAACCAGAAGCACCCAGTGTGGATGAATGATGGATCCAGTCTCTGCTCAGCCAGTTCTGGACTAAACAGGTGTTTGAGTTTTACCTGGTTAAAGCCGACGTGTGAAGATGTGACTCCTGGATGGTCTCCAAAACATCAGTGGAACTGCATCAGACTAATGGGAGAGCTGCTGAACCAGACGAAGCCTCTGAACCACAGACCTGCAGCTCGTTGATCAGCGTTTAGATTCAGAGCCACAAACTGACAACAGGAAGAACTGAACCAAATCTAGTTGCTTTAAATCATTTTATTCTACAAACAGGATGAACCGTTTGCTTGAACCAGAATCTGTAAAAAACAAAGAAATCTGAGCGTGTGGGTGCAGCTGATTCTCCATGACGGACTCACCTGGCCACCAGGTGAGCTGCAGGCAGTGTTCCACAGAGCAGACAGGATGAGCAGACAGGAATAACTACATGGCCATCGTATGTGAGCCTCCTTTTTGTTTTCCAGGTTATTTACATGTGTGTAGATTCAGTAATGAACATTTCAGTTGTTCTGACTTGTGGCCTGATACCTGTGACACTGGAACAGGTTTTATAGATTAAATAATCCAAGAAATTCAACTTTCTCTCTGGTCTCCATGGTTCTGACTGAGTCCTGCTGACAGAAGACGTCTCTGAGTTCTCTCTCCTTCATGGTTCTGGTTCCACACAGCTGCAGGACTTGATGCAGGAACATGAGTCAGAAGCTGTTTGTAGTTCAGAGGGTTGAAGGTCTGTTAACTAGTCTGTCTGTGAGAAACAAACCAAACCCACCCTGTGATGTTCTGAGTCCACGTTGACAGGATTATTGGCACAAAGTTCTGTTCTGTGGGTTTAACGTGAACGTCGGCTCTCCTTCGTCTGCACAGACGATGTTCCAGGTTCAGATGATTGAATCTAACATGTCGACTCTCTGGTCCCGAACTTTACAAGTTGTCTTATTTACAAAAACAGGAATAATCATAAAAAACAAACCAAAGGTCAAAGTGCCATTTCCATTGTTGTCTGTTGGTGTTTTCAGGTTGTTCTGATCCGATGTGTGCTGGCTGTCTGCACATCCTTCCCTCTGAACCGGCTCTGAGCAGATTCCCTCTCAACGCCTGAATCAGTTTTCTGAGCAAAAATGCATCTAAACGTTAAAGTTGGACCCGATATGAGGCTTCAGGTGGTCAGGGGGACGTTTCCACCAGTTTTAATCCTTCGTAGCACCACAAATACCAAAACTGTCAAACGGATCAAACTCTTTGAAATGTCAAAAAAAGGAAATGATGTTTGGCATCAACAGCTTTGGAGTGAATGAACTCAGCTGTGGTCAGCAGGTGGCGCTGTTGGCTACATCAAACAACATTCTCTGCCTCACCGCTCATTAGGAAAAGATCATTAAGTCTATTTTACTGAACTAAAAAAAAGTAAAAATCCTGAACCAACTCAATCATAAAAGTCTGGAAGGAATTGGAAGTTTGTTTTTTAATGTGTTGTTTGTAACGTGATACTTCAGAATATGGATAAATGAAGCTCCAGAACCGGTTCCTGTCCTGCTGTGTGTCGACACAACGAGGAAACAACCATCCACCAATCTGAACCAGTAACTGGAGAACGCCTGCTGCTGAAGCCTCACATCAGCTCTGAAATGCATTTTTCCTCTGGACCCGGTTCTTCTGAAGGGAATCCGTCCAGTCAGGGACGATGAGGAACCATCACAGAACACACCTGAAAACCTCCAACGTCTCCTTTAACCACAACCCTCGTTCTAACACCTGCAGGAGGAGATCCATGAAAAACCAACCGGATCTGAACTAAGCTCCCCGGACCTCCTCAGAACATCTGGTTCTGTATCTACAGTAACTTTATTTATTGGAGGAGGAGGGTCCAGATTGATCACCTTAATGGACTTTTTCCATGATTTCTGAGCCTCAGAACTTCATCAGTACAGCAGATAGACACATGACATTTAGGAGGAAGAACACATCTGGGTTCTGCTAGAAGCCAAAACAAAACTGTGCGTCTGTACTGAGGAGTGATGCATCTGGACCTCTGATCATCGGCTACAGGGAGGTCACTGTGGATATAAACGGTGAGGAGGTCGGAAAGGTTTTCACATCTGGTTGGTTTTGTCTGGAATGACCTGAACAGAACCAGGGTCCACTGATCCCGTCATGAAACAGTCCTACTGGTCCCATCACAGACCAAGTGTCGTTGTCATTCAGACACTCGGATCCAAAGATCTACGGCTGTTCCAGTCACGCTCTAGAGTCCACAGATCCAGCATCAGGCCCACATTAGTGTCTGTGGTCCAGAACAGAACCAGTGTGAGGGCTCTGGTTCTGATGCAGAGTTCAGGGCTGAATCCTTCAGGGCGGGTAGATCCGGCTGCAGAGTCTCTGGGGGGCTAGTCGGGCATGTCGATGCAGAGCTTGGGCGGCGGGACAAAGTACTTCCCGGGACTCTGTGTGATCACCACGCCGGTCTTCTTGTGGAACATCGGAGCGATCTTCGGTGGCGGTTCTGGGACGGGCAGGTCGTCGGCCGCCTCGGGGTCCTCGCTGCGCTGGAGGTCGTAGGACACGTTGCCATACTCCCGCAGGAAGGGGAGGAGCTCCAGCAGGAAGTGGCAGAAGTCCTTCCTGATGCCGAACCACCCTGTCGGATCAGGACACAAGTGAACAGGGTCAGTCAGTGAAGAACGAGCTCGAAGCAGCTCAAACTATAACTGGACCATCTGGTCAACAGAACAGCAGCTGTAAGGGTTCTTCTGGGTCTAGATGTTCTGTCCTCGTTGGCTGGCACAGAGTCTCACGAACATCAGCATCCTGACTGTTCTGAGGTTTCATAGAGTAACTGAGAGAAGTACGACCCGATCTAAACAAACTGGGCTCTGAAGCTACCAGACAGCAGGAGAGCTACCAGAGTCTGAATACTCACAGTGGTTTCCTCCCTTCTGGCCGAAGGTGGTGGCCATGAGCGTGAGCAGAGAGAGCCACAGAGGGACGAACACACAGACGTAGCTCAGGCTGTTGTGGCCGTCCAGCTTATGGACCAGGAGGATCTGAGGAGGCACCAGAAGGTCAGGAGATGCTGATGATTACATGTGGACACAGTCAGTGAGGTAGCAGGATGGACGCTAACAAACAAACACCTGAGGTTTAGCTTTCTACGTTCTCTGTGGTGATGATGTCTCTGGTTTCTATCAGAACATCCTGCATGTTGTTTAGTCAGACTGTTGTCAGGACAACACATGCTTCAGGCTAACTTCACCTTCACATCACGCTGTTCAGTTCAGTTCAGTGAACAGGAGCTGAGACGTGATGATCTGATCTGATTGGACGTTTGTCTCAGACCAGTAGGTTCACAATGTGGATGTAAACGGATTCAATGAGAAACAGTGTGACTGTCTCATAGCAACCAGAGCTGTGAGGAGGCAGGACTTCACCGCCGTGGGAACTCTGACCCAAACAACCCTACGTGGTGAGGAGCCCGATTTAGAAGACTCACCTCAAAGGTGAGCAGTGGAACTACGATGGTCATCCAGCTGATCGCCATGGTGATGTGGGTCCGGCGCTGCTCGGCGATGATGTCGATGGAGCGCAGGAAGAGCACCGACCAGATGATGTAGTAGAGAACCACAAGGCACAGGAAGGACATGAGGATCCACAGAGGAACACACACCACCTGCAGGACGGTCAGACAGCCACAGAACACATGCAGACGTTTAAACTGCTGCTGCAGGAAACAGAACCAACCCGAACACTGGAACACCGTCTCACCTCAGATCCATCAGAGCTTTAGAAGGACTTCTGCTCCACCATCTCTGATTGATTTTATCTTTCTAAAGTGTCAGTGTGGTTCTTTAAACGTGACCGGGTGGTTCTAACGTGGGAATCTTTCTGTTTTCAGACCCACTTTGTCGACACAAACCTGGTCTGGAGGAGCCTTGTGTCATTTCTTTAGGAACTGTTCTGCATCACCGACACAATGAGAAACAACTGAAATGTCAGGTTTGTATCTTTGACTGATCCTCAGATGATGTTCAAACAGCCTCAAACCTTCACGTGAGAAACCACGAAGACCCACATTCAGCCGGTGGTTTCTATAAAATATTATCACTGAAAGCATTTGAATTTCAGAAACTTCTACATTCATACTTTACACTGTAAAAAATCATGAAAACCAGAGATAGTCAAGCAGAAATCGTTCCATAACTTTAATGATTTGAAATAAAGGAACACGCGATGGGGAATAAAACCCTAAAAAAACGACATCAGAGAGATGATGTGTTTGGACATGCAGCAGTTGAACAGTGTGCCGTGTGTCTGTCCCTCACCAGCCAAGGCCAGTTGATGATCCGGTCCAGCCTCAGAGCGATGAAGATGAACTGCAGGATGTTGACTGAACACAGAACCTCCAGCTGCAGACACAAACGATCAGAAGGAAAGCTCAGCGTTTCCTCCAGTCCAGCCCTACATTCATACATACAGAAATGCTGCTTTGTCCAGCTCTGGTGAGAATACTTCACCGTTTTATCTGTCAGACAATTAATGGAAGAATAATGCAGCTCTCTGAGCAACTACAGCATCAAACACTAACGTATAAACGCCCAGTGTTTGGTCTCACATGGCTCTCTATAGGAACTCTACTACAAACATCCCACCCCAGGCTCAGGAGTCAGACTTCACTCCTTACTCATTATTTCTGGGTCATTCATATAAAATCAAAGTTATGAGGGTCAGAAGTGCTGGACAAAGTTGTGTGAATTTTAAAGTGCCACATCTGGACCCACATCTTTGTATTTTAAGGGCCTGTAGGTCTGAAATCAAACCTTCTGAAGTGACTGCAGATAAAGAATCAGCTGCTTTTCGAGCAGCTCTTACCTCGAGGGAGCGGTCGTGTCTGAAGCCCCAGACACATGCTGCCACCGAAACGGGCGACACAAAGAAGAGCGGCATGAAGACGAGCAGCCAGAAGTAGTTTCCTCGGGCCACTCGGTCGCACACCAGCACCTCGAACATCAGCAGCAGGACGTGGAGGCCCACAGCGATCAGCATGGCCTTAAACTCCACACAGGTTTCCCCTTCAGCCCTGACGGCACACACACACCGACAGCAGGGGTCACCACAGGTCAGTGACCTCATTCAACACCCAGTCAGTGTCCTATGTGTTAGTATTACTATTCACACATCAGATGGACCAGTAGGAGCACACTTCAGCACAACCTTAGAGTTTAACCTCAACCTGACTGTAAAAGTACCAAGAAAGAAACTCTTCAGGGCTCCAGACTGCCACTGAAATGGTTTGCGACCTTTCTTTGTGAGTGTGTGAGTTAAACCTTCACGTGGTCACATCGGCGTGAGTGCATGATGATCATGAAGCTGTGTTAGTGTCCCTCTAACCGCAGGAAGCTGCTGCATTAACCCCAGTGGTGGGAAGTAGGCCTTTAATAACTCTGGTGTTCTGCGGTATTTACTCTTAAAAATGAGGTCTTCTAGTGAAATAGGGAGCACTGCTACATGCTGTTTATTCTGCTCATAGAAAAAACCCCATGTAGAAAAAAATCACTCACTTTGGACCAGTCTGACACCAGAACCTCCTGGTTTACTCTGTTAAAGTCATCTCTGGTCTCACACCAGTCTGAGCACCGCGGCCACCAGCAGCAGCTACCTCAGCCTGCTATGTGGGGCGTTCAGGGAACATCGTAAACTGTAGAGTCTATCGATAAGAACATGTTCTGCAGGTCATATGTTTAGCCTGTGACCAAATGAGGAAGCTGGTCGCACCGGTGCTACCAGTGGACAGGTTCGTCTGGAGTCCTGCTCCTTTTGGCATTTTTTCCACATTAACTCTGAATTCTGCATTCAGCGTTCTCTCATGTGTCTGCTGGAGGCACCACGAGCAGGAAGCTCCTCAGGGAGAGGAGATGTTTTTATAAAGTTAGTGGTCTGAAGTCCAGCTGCCCTGTTCAGCCACATGTGAGCAGGTCTACCTGTACTGAGGGTTGTGAGCCCAGACTCCGGTGCCCACTGACGCCCCGATGATGACCAGCAGCTTCCACAGCCATATGGGAGTGAACACAGCCCAGTAGCTCCACTGGATGACGCCATCCAGCCTCAGGGACAGCAGCACGGAGAACAGCAGCAGGCACGAATAGATCAGGAACTTACTGCAACACAGGATGGGAGGAAAAGTTCACAGGTGACACCTGTAGCAGAGCTTTGTCATCAGTTACACCTCAGTTACTACAGTGATGGTACCATAACAAATAAGCTACCTCACTACTTCCTCTGGTTACATTTGAATACACAGTTTTTAATATCCTTCTAGTTTCACGCTCTTATTCTACTGTTTGTGTAAATGCAGCAGCAGCTCTACTTAGCACTGACCTGACAGCTCCCTGAATTACTCTACCACCACGTGACCACAGCACATCTGAGAAAAGGCTGAATGGAGCAGAGCTGGTGACAGATCTACTTCTATGGTAGTAAACTTCTGCATGTCCATTAAACACAGAATGATACAGGCCTGCTTGGACACACAGTTGATCATATACTCCATCATATTATAGTTTGACACTAATTTTAGAACCGTACATTCATGTTTTCATTTGTTTCTAACTTGTGACAGATTCTTGTCGTGTCCATTTCATCCTACTTTATACTTCATCCTCCCCAAACTCCTTACTGTCCTTTTCATTGCTCATTTTGTCTTTGTCAAAGCAGTGTTTTCCACCTAGTATCTCTAAAAGTCTGTTGCCGTTAATGTTGAGGGTCTGTACAGATAAGATACCTATTAAAGTTAGCTCGTTCGGTTCAGCTAACTCTGTGTAAAGAACTGATCGAACAGTTACCGTGTGTTGTCATTTACAGCTAGCTGTAGCTACCAAAGCCCCTGCGTTATTCCAGCTAGCATGTTAGCCGGGCCTTGATTAGCCGGAGAGCTCCTGTTAGCGCTGTCAGCTGTGTTTACAGGTGTCTCCGCGGTGTGGCGTGACAGCAGGACAGGTGTCTGCGCTTCCACTAGTTTCAGACACACGGTTTGTATGTTTACAGAAAACTTATTAGCCGAGCAGTGCTAACTAGCCAGACGGCTAGCTACAGGGCTAGCTAGGTCGTCGCTAACGCTACCTGGGGTTGAAGTCCTGGAAGAGTCCTCTGAGATTCATGGTGTAGGGAGGCTGCTCAGAGAGCCGACATTAGTTTCCCGTGTTGACCGCGTCTTTCTCGAACGCTACACATCGTAATGTCGGCGGCAGCACAGCCTTTTCTCTCGGGTTCATTACGAGCTCGATGCTAACTCGTCTGTTTTGTTTTTTTTTTCTTTCTGTACGAGCGGTCCTTCGGACACCACGTGACCACACGAAGCAAGCCGAAGTTATTTCGGCAGACGAGGACCCGGATGTTCCTTTTCCGACGCATTATTTTATTCTGACTGGTGTTGTTATTATTTTTTATTCTTAAATATGACTTTTAAATCACTTCTTAAGACTAATTTTATATTTTTCAAGCTTTCCTGTGATGTCTTTTTTTGGTTTCTTCTTTTTATTTGTGTTTTTTACCTGTATATAATATAATAGAGCTTTTTAATCGAGCCAAGATGTTTCACTGTAGTCCAACCGTAAACACACTGGAACAACAGAACGCTGATAAACATCTTTAAACGTTATGACGAATGAAGAAAACTATGAATAGGTGCCATATCAGAAATGGTGTATTTGTACATGTGGCAGTTTGTTTGTTGATTTTAGAAGATTTGACTACAGAGTCACAGTTTTTACAGTTTTTAATTCAGAAAAAGTATTTTACAGATATTTGCTGTCATTTTGACAGTATTAACAGACTTTGAGCTTTATGTCTTATTCAACTTTTTTCTGGCACCTTTGCTACCAAATTGTCACAGTTTTCAGTGAAGTCATAATCTAGTTGGTTTTGTAAAGACTTATTTATTGATTTAAAATTTTTCAGATGTTAAAAGCAACTTGATTTTCATCCACACATCAAGCCTCGAGGTGGTTTTTTGTTCCATTTGTTGGTGCGTTTATCAGTTTACTTGCTGTTTATTGAGGGAAACGTTGCATAAGTGGAGGAATGACATTAAAATGATGTGATTCCTGTTTGAATGTAGGATATTAATACACAGCGTGGCCTTAAACGATCTGTTCTGGTTATATAACATGCAAACACACACAAATAGGAACACATGAAGACGTTGGATGACTCGGCAGCTCACAGTCACAGACGATCACAAACTACAGACAGTAAGTGAATTTAAATGAACTGAATCATATTTATCATGTTAATGTGCTGCTTTATTAAACTGCTTGCTCTTTATTCAGTGTTCAGTCTGGTTTGGTAGATTTATTGTATGTTTTAAACTAGTTCTAACTGTTTCAACTGCATTTTATTGTTATTGTTATTGTTATAATTATTAGTAGTAGTAATATTGTTATTGTTATTATTACAAATGGTCATTTATACTTTTACAACATTTTTCTGTAAAATTATCTTTTTTTTAAATCAGCTAAACAGTCATGATATTTTACAGATATTTTCTGTTATTTGAAAGAAAATAATGTCTATTGAGGGTTAAAAACATGACATGATTTTATAGATAATGCAAGTAGTATTTGGTAAAATAACAGGAAAAAAATTTGCATTTTTTTTAGTCCTTATTGAAATTTTTTTCATCCAAATGACAGAAAATATCCAAAAAACGGTATTTTTTGCAGATGTTGTAAAAGAATGAACCATTATTTAAAGAAACACACATTCTGATGTGAACATTACGTAAAGTTTTTGCCTTTTTAAAAAGTCAACATGCAAATTGGTACTTTTATCTGTGATTTTGCTAGAAATCTAAATCTGTGAAATAGTAGTAAATATATTTTATATATAATTTTTTATTTATTTGTTTTATTTTATTTTTCTTTTGACTAACTGCAAGGTTGGTTGGTTGTTAAGGAACATTTTTATTTCCATTATTGTTCTCATTGCAGACAGGACTGTAAGTTTTAAAGAGCACAGTAGTGTAAAGGATCAGACAGCGAATGGATAATGTGTGTGCATGAATCCAGACTATCCTCAGTATTCATGGTGCAGTAGTCAGAGTGACACTGACACGACTGTGATGTTTAAAACAAAGTGGTGCATTTCATCTGAAGAGCTCTGATATCTGGAGGACATTAGACTTTATTCTTGAAGTGTGAGAGACTGAAACATGTTTGAAGGTCTGCTGAGAGAAAAGGATCAAAGTTAAATCTGTTGTTCAGGTGTTTAACGATGCCACAGCTCCCCTAGTGGGCAGGGCGGGCCACTGCAGCGTGAAGGGCAGCTTCCTCCACACCTGCTGGTTCTGGAGGACGCTGGTGGATGGAGGCTGAAGGATGTGATGTGCTGTAGAACCAGAACTTCAGATCTTCTCATAATAACCGGCGGGAGTCGTTCAGTCCACTGATTACTACATCTCTCGTCAGTGAGATGATAGTTGATGGTTGAAGACTTCAGGCAGGTGGACAGACAGGTTGCAGGTTGTGATGAAGCCTGGAGAAGCTGATCTGCCCTTTGTTTGAGTTCCTTCCTGTCAGACCATCAGCTGGACTCACTGCTCTGAGCTCAGCCTCTCTGATGCTGCTGCTGCTGGTTCCAGCTTTAAGGAGCAGTTTAGTTCTTCTGGCAGCGAAGCTCCACCGCTAGGAGTCGTGAGATTGTTGGTCCTGTAGATGATATGGTCCATGTCCTCCTACGCCCTACAGGTCGATGTTTCGGTGTCCTCAGTCTTCCTCCTGTAGCCACCTCAGCTTCCTGATCCTCAGGTTGGTTCTAGCAGCTCTGTAGAGGAGCTGTTACCAGACCTGAAGGAGGTGTTACGTCCTGGAGAAGACATCCCAGTCATCCAGAGCTTCTGACTGGGAAGCACCTGGACGTGTCTGTTGGCAGTGACGTTGTCGACACAGTTCTGTGTCCAGTAGAGTCCAGTCGATGTGTCTCCTCCAAGTCCTGACTCTCAGAGATGTCCCGGTTGGTCCTGCAGCTGTCAGGAAGCTCCTTCAGGTCGAGTTTTGTCCCCCAAGGTTTTTGCAGATGATGTGGTTCTGTCGGCTTCTTCAGACCACAACCTTCAGGGCACACTACAGCAGCTGAGTGTGAGGTGGTCATGGTGGGAGTCAGCAGCTCCAGGTCCGAGGCCAGCGGTGGATCAGACCACCGGGCTGGAGGAGGTGCTGCTCCTCTGAGAGAGTTTATGTGTCTGAGGATGTTGTTCCCAGTGACGGGAAACTGTAGCGTGAGACGCACTGATGGACTGATGGAGCGTCGGCGGTGATGCAGACGTTGTACCAGACCATCGGGGTGAGGAAGGAGCTGAGCTGGAAGGTGAAGCTCCTGATTGAACACATCCGTCCGTCACCTCAGGTCATGAGTCATGAGGCTGACACAGGGCAGGTAGAAGCAGCTAGCTGGGTTTCCTCCTTCAGCTGTAGGTGATCATCTGATGACGCCGACCAACATGATTTAACCACTTGTTGACTGTGTTTCCTTCTCTGTCCATCGGTTCCTCTCTGACCCTCCTCTTGTCCAGTCATGTCCCTGACCTCCTCCTTCAACACCTCCCTCCACCTCCATCCCTCTTCCTCCTTCCTAGACTTCCTCCTGCACCACTGCCTGAATTCACCCGTTGGTGTTTTCAACATGACAGCCTACGCCATCGTCAGCATCCTCGTCCTCCTCCCTCTCTGCGTCTTCGTGCTCCACCTGGGCTGGCGGCGGCGGCGGCGGCGGCGGCAGCGTTCCGGTGTGAAGACGAGCCACTCGGACGTCTTCACCTACAACATGGTGGTCATGACGCTGACGAGCGTCGTGGGCGCGACCTCCACCTGCTGGGGCCTCCACGCCGGCCTGCCTCTGGTGGTCTTTCTGGGGGTCTGCCTGCTCTCCATGCACTTCGGCGGCCAGATAATACTCCACGTGCTCACCTGTGTGGAGCGCTACCTGGCCGTCCTGCACCCCGTCACCTACCTGAGCCTGAAGAAAGCCAAAGCAGTCCGAATCAGAAACGCCGTCCTCGGCTGTGTTTGGCTTCACTGCGTGACGTCGATGGCTTCCGTTTTTCTACCACAAGAAGTTTTCTTGTCCGTCGTGTCGTCCATTGTGCCTCTCTCGCTATCTATCATCTGCTCCTGCAGCGTTTCTGTTCTCTGCGCTCTGATTCGTCCGGGGCCAGGGGAGGGGGGCGGGGACAGACAGAGGGTGGACCAATCAAAGCTGAGGGCCTTCCACACCATCCTGTTCATACTGGGAGTGCTGGTGCTGAGGTTTATGGGGTTTCTAGTCATCTCCTACATGTTTGGGGTGCTGGAGGGCTCTGGGCGGTGCGGTTTGTGGCTGTCTGATGTGTGGTTCTGTTTTCCCAGCAGTCTGGTTCTGCCGCTGCTCTTCCTGCTCAGAGCAGGAAAACTGCCCTGTTGGAGGAGCAACAGCGGTCCAGGAGCAGCATCTCCTCAGACGAGCCCCTGACGTCAGACAGGAGCTCGAACATCTAGTGTCGGAGAAGCAGTTCAGATGGTTTAGGAATAGATAGTCCCATCAGATAAACGTAGTGACGCTAAATCACCAGACGGGTCAACGGTGACAGATCAGGAAGGTCCATGTGTGTCTGAGCAGCTTTGATGAGACTTCAGAGAATCAGCATGTAGATTAGATTAGATGAAACAGAACTT